TATTTAATTTTATTTTAAAACCCGGGAAAATGCCCATATAAAGAAATACAGTGTAAATACATTCTAATTATCACAATAAGAGGCATCATGTTTGATATACCGATTGACTTTAGAGATAGCAACTAAAATTGATCATATCATTCAGCCCAGGGGCCTCATGAGATTCTGTTTGATGGATCCATCTACATTCCCTTTGTAGAAGAGATTTGTCCCAATCCCCTCCACGTCTGGGTTGGTGTACCCTGTCCAACGCAAAAAAGCGAAGTCTGTCGATCTGTCCGTTATGTGTATCCACAAAATGTCTCACAATAGGAGACCTCAGATCTCTGGCCGATATGTCTGTCAGATGATCCGAGATCCTATTCTTGAACATTCGTTTTGTTTTCCCAACGTAGAACATGTCACACTTGCATAGCATCAAGTAAATGACACCCTTTGTCTCGCAGTTGACAAAATGACGCGCTTTGAAACGTTTTCCCCGAGGGGTGATAATCTCAGTGCCAGACTGGACAAAGCGACAGAATTTGCATTTTTGACATTGGAAGGTTCCTCGATATTTACAGCAATTACCACTTCCTCTAACAAAGTCACTGCTCGTCAATTTATCCTTTAGGGAGGGACAACGTCGATAAGTAATAGTGGGTTTAACGTCCAAAAATTTCACGATCCTCGAGTCCCTAGTTAGGCAGTGCCAATGCTTCTGAAGGATTTTTGCTATTACTTTATGCTGGTTGTTATAGGTCAAAATTAGTCTCACAAGGGGGTCTTCTTTATCTTTTTTATTAGATTTCAATTTAGATATATTCCCGTTTTTATGCATTTTTGGTCCTGCCATCACTCGCTGGTAGGATTTTTTGAGTATTTTGTTGGAATAACCTCTTGCCCGTAGTCTAATCCTCAAATTTTGAGCTTCCCTTTCAAAGTCAGCATCACTCGTACAGTTCCTCCTGACTCTCAAATACTGGCCATACGGGATACTGTTCTTCAGACTTTCTGGATGGGCACTACTTGCCTCAAGGATAGCATTCCCTGCTGTATCCTTCCTGTACAGACTGGTGTACAGGACCCCCTTTGTATCCTTGCACACCAGAATGTCTAGGAAGGGTAACTAACTGTCATCTAATGTTAGGGTAAATTTAAGATTATAGTCATTAAAGTTTAGAATGTCTACAAAGTCTCTCAAAAGTTCATCTCCCCCTGTCCATAGGATCAGGATATCATCTATGTACCTGTGCCAGGACAATACATGGCACAGGTACATCGATAAGTCCTCCCTGGCCCATAGCTCCTGTTCCCAACCGCCCAAGTATAGATTTGCGTAGGAGGGTGCACACTTAGTGCCCATGGCAGTGCCCTGTGTCTGTAAATAATAATGGTTATTGAAAAGAAACGCATTATGGGTCAGTACAAACTCGAGGAGTCGCAATAGGAAGCCATTGTGCATACCTTCAGCTAAACCCAGAGTGGCTAGAAATCTTTCAATCATTTCCAGTCCTCTAGAGTGCGGAATGGATGAATATAAGGCCTCCACATCCAAACCCACCAACAGAGTACCCTCGGGAACTTCTAAATCCTGAATTTGCGAGATCAAATGTGGGGTGTCCCATCATTTCAGTACAGCGCTGCATGACAGAATAAATGTCAGTTAAAGTACCGCAGCGCTGAATACTGAAAAATGGCCTGGATGGGAAGGGGGTTTAACACCGCGGATGTCAACTGGTTAAAAATACATTCAAAGAAGACATTTTTTTTATTAACCCTTGCAGTGGGGATACCCCCGCACTGCAAGGGTTAAGTGCTCGTTTGTGTCTAGGTGCTAAAATAACAAAGATATACTAAGTGGAAGCTCCGAGCTGATCAGCTGTCAGTGCTCTCTCCAGCCTGTCTCCCCCTCCCTGCAGCATTGTAATCTTCCTCAGCGTCCTCACATCTATACACTGTATATAGACATTGATGATTTATGGGACCTTAGACCGCTGCAGAGGAGGGGGAGAGGCGTTGGAGGGAACGGTCAAAGAAGAAGCCGTCCCAGAGCTTCGGGTGAGTATAACTTTGTTTTTCTTTTAACCTAGACACAAATGAGCAGTTAACCCTTGCATTGTGGGGGGGGGGGGGGGGGCC